AAGTGCAGGGCTTTTTATTAAAAAAAGAATTATTCAAAAATATGCTGTAATTGCTGACATCTAAGGCAACAAAGAAGTGTGTGTTTACGCTTTATTATAATAGTATAGATTTTATTTTCGAAGCAACGAATCGCATTTCCTTGCTAACATAAATACAAAGAGAATAAAAAACATGTAGAGGAAACATAGTTGACACGTCATTTGGAACATTTTTCACATAATCTCACTAACGCTACCTGGTATCCGATAGTCAAAATCAAAACAAACAAATAATTCAAACACTGAGAAGCATCGCGACATGTCAAATTTGACATTGAGGTATTAAAGAAATTACCGGTGAAAAAATGCTCCCTATATCTAGTCTATATATTTCTTAATGTCTTTGGATAAATACTATATTTTAGTGGCTTTACTTTCATATTTAATATAATAACTGTCGATGTGAATGAACCTTTACTTCCGCTGGGAAACTCTCAGCCTCCTCGTACCGGTGCGTTTTGCAGCTCGCCTAACGAACCACTAGAGATAACGAATTCCCGGGCGCGGGCCGCGCGTTGCACAAAACGATGCAAATTACACATACGACTGTTTACGTTTCAATACAAAACATTTTTTTCAACATCAACGAATACACCGATCTTGACAAGTGCTATTTAATGACTCATTAAATTTTTAATTAGGCTATTTTGATGATATTTTTATTTATTCATTGCAAACTTTAGCAATAGTAAGAGCGGGCGCACACCTTTGGCTAAGCTATCGCCACAAATGTTGTGCGATTGTCGATTGTTTCGCAGCCAATTCAACTGTTCGCACAACTAAAAATCGAATAGTGTGCGCACCTCCATATAAGCTTATAGGAATCAAAGCGAGACCGCAAAGAGAGGACAACGCTCCATATTTAAACCAAAAAAATGTAAAAGAAACTGAACTATTACTTAACAGATTTCTACAATGTATTCTCAGGATAACTGTGTAAGACCAATCAGTTAACTGTCGACGTATTAACTAATGTGATTTAAGAATTAACTGAGTTGACATCAAGTGTGCGACCCACACAAACAGGTCGTTAAGTATGCAGGTCAATCCAATATAAACACACATACAGACCACACTAAGCGGTCATTAAATCCATTCACATACATTTCTTTTTATAGTGTACAGTTTATTTCATTGCAATTTATTTTGGTACATAAAACAGTGATATCGTCACTTTTATTGGATAACATAAACAGAGCAACAATAAAATGTAAATGTTAAGACAATTTTACAACAAGAAATATATGTTTATTTTACATCTCTTTCATTAAATTGGATTAGACAGAGACAGCAATTCTCTTTCATCTAGCGTAATAAGTGACACTTTAATATACTTTCAATGGAGCATTTGACCATTCAAATGACTTATGTTTTTCAGCTAATATAAAACTCTAATCAGCAAAACAAGCGGGTTTTATTTATTGAACTACGCTGTCATGTTCATCATAATCTTGGTAAGTAAACGACAAACGACAGCTCCATTAGCTGTAATTATCACAGATTAACTATTGATTGACAGCTGTCTAACAGCTATTACGTCAAAGTTTCGACTAAGCTTCTCGTGAGGTCGTGTGCGTGTTTGTATATCTCGGTGACAGGTGACAAATGGTGTTGTCAATCTTCACTGTAGTGTGCTGCAAAGATTGACAAGTTTGGGTGGGTGTGCTTACCCTATATGTCCACGTATATATTTACTATTTTTATATTCCAAATCGCCAATAGTCTAATGGTACGATTATGAGTCCGAGTTCCAATTTCACAATTCGAATATTTTCATAACCAATATCCTAGCTCAGATAAATAAATTAATGTAAATACTAAATTAACATTATGTTAATATTTTTAAGTATCCAACATGGCCTCTATACAGTGGAATTATTAATACTTATTAATTTCAAAAAGTAGCCGTTAAAAGAATTTTGTTATAAATAAGTAAAGGTTTTTTAAGGGAATTTAACCAACGTTACCAACAGACCCTCGAACACAAAATTCAATTAAACGCAAGTGCTTTTATAATACTGCTACTTAGGGTCCGGGGTCACATTTTAATATAACATTAAATTCTAGATTAAGCCAATAAACGAGGGTTTTATTGCGACCTTAACGAAATTTGACCTTTTCATATTGAATTAATTACATTAATATATCCTGTCTATTCTACCTTAAGTTCTATGGTAATCTAGGAAATAGCTAGAATAATCCTAACGTAGTTGTTTTTAGCATTATAAAGCGACTACAACTATCCTCTAGTCACTGTAGTCCTTATAAAGTTGGTCCTTAAATTTTAATTCGATTTGTTTTCAGACAGATTCAAAAGTAAATGTGTCAAAAAGATAATATCAATTGGCATATCGCATTGCAGTCTGTGTAGTTTTTAATGTATAGTGAAAACCGCAGACTCGTAACTCTTGGATTGACACAAATACTTGCACAATACGGGTATCAAATCGCAGTAATAAAACACGAGTGTAATAGCGCTCACAATAAAGAATTAAGTAGATATAAAAATTCCTTTGAACCGAAACAATTTTGTACAAAATCGGTGAGATTCCGTCACCTGAACTAGTAATACCTGAGTTTCCTGAAACAATACAACTATTATCTTGTAATGTATTTAAAGTATATATATTTTTACAAGACATTTGCGACGTCATTAGTGAAACAAGACTACGGCGAAACCACTCCGTTGCGGCGACGACTGCGATTTTACAAGAAAAGGAGGTTAAGTGCGAATGTCATCGCGGTTGGGTTGCAGCAGATAAACATTTCTAAAATTACAGCCAAATAAAGTTTATTTCGTTAGTTCGCAAACCTGAATAATATCGCTACATTGACACTGCTATTGACTGTCACTACCCTCGTTTAGTTAGATGTCATATTAGAAACAATACTGTCGCTGAGATGGAGTAGCTTTCCTTACCCATAAAAGTACAGAAGAACAGATTGTTAAGTCAATCATCTTTATGTTTCGTCGTAAATTCAAGTAATCACATTCCAAATCAACAATTCTTTCCTTAAGTACCCATCTATTAACACAGCACCTGCCAGGTTATTTAATATGTGTATGGGTAGAAATGGTCGTGTACCTTCGTAAAAGCATAAACGTTAATTTTCACATGGGAGACCGTTACCGTCTAGGTAAGCGTGGGCGCTCGTGGGCGTATATTTATATCTGCCATGGCATTCCCGCAGAGAGTCTAGCAAAGACAACTATGGACCGATATTATACGATAAACCAACTAAACTATCCACTTATATGGTCATGTTAATATTGAACTTGGTAAAGAAAGTATTGTAAATGACCTTTTAAGTTTATAGATGTTTGGTATCGGGTTTTTAAGTAATTATTTACATTGTATAGTGGAGAAAGGAATTATTAAGAGGACTCGTTAAAGAGTTCGTATGCTTATAAGGCCAATTATGAGGGTTTTTGGTATCGTATCGCCTTGTTAGTATAATTTAAGATCTGCCTACACTTGATAGTCTACAGCGTGAATATGTATTAATTTCATTATGCTGTATTTGCTTTAACCAAAGATTTTAATATTATAAAAATCTTTGCTTAAAATATAACTTTACAGTTATTTATAAACGAAGTACATTTTTAATTTAAACACTAAAAACTACCGCTTAAAAGTTTCTCTTCTTTCAATTCCACACCAGTTAAGTTAAAGTTAGTGTCAAGTTGTACAGCTGTAAACAGGACAAACAATTCATCGACTTACTCCAACTTTGTCCACAACAGTTGACAACTTAAGACTTTATAACAGTTTATTGTCTCGTATTTTAAAAGTTGTTCGCACAATTTTATGATATTTTTAAAAACTATTACTTACGTTTCCAGGATCTTAACAAAGCATTGGCGTACATTAACTTACATCCATAGATACTCAGTCATTAACTGAAAACTAGAATAAACATCGCAAGTGTGGTTTAGTTTGAAAAATATACTACTAAGGCACTGTTCAAACAATCATTAGTCAAGACGAGTGCAGTCAGTACTGTACCTACACATATAAAGGCCTTAACTCGTATACAAGTGAACAAAATAGCAACAGCTAACGAAGAAAATCCTAGAGCATTTACGTCTAGACCAAGCCTACAGTATCAGGGCGCATCAGCTGTGCACGTGTGCCGGGTCTATTTCCGGTGCGGGTGAACGTTCGCCGGCCTTGCCCCGCCGCGGCGGTCAACAACCGGCCCGCTGTTGCGCGGCCTTGGACTGTATTCGCAAACATCGGGACAAAAATGGCATTATGGGATCAAGAGGGTTAAAAAAACACACATCCCATCGAGTGGTGGGAAAAAGTTTCGACTGACTCTTCAAAATCGGTAAAGCAACAGTCACAATGAAACGGATAAAATTGCATCATGCTAATCATACTAATATTATAATTCCGAAAGTTTAGATGGAAGGATGGATGGATGGATGTTTGTCAGAGTTTGTAGCCTAAACGGCTGAACGGATTACGATGGAATTTGGTATAGATGTAGAAGATAGTCTGGAAGAATAAATAGACTACTCGCTTTTGTTTTTTTTAATTCCACGCGGACGGAGTTGCGGGCAAAAGCTAGTATTAAATAATCGACCTGTCAATTAAATACAATCAAAAAAACTTCGCAATCATGAATTCATATAAATTCATTCATTAATTAACAAAATAATTCGGACGTCGAATGTTTTCAAATAAATAAAAAAGTCAAGCATTATTATTACATCCACCGCTGGCTTTGCCGCAGTGTATATCTGTTTATATTGACAATAACATATTTGACAGGATATCCGAACTCCTTGTTTGCTCAAGCCAAATCAAACGGATAAGTTACAACGGTCGGGACGCGGTAAAGTGCTACAAAAGCTATTCATGTCTATCAAAGTTATAAATTTATGTTATGTTTAAACTTTTTGTATAGTAAAACATATTTTAAGCAATAAATAATAATGTAACCTTATTACTTACCACAAAACAGCCACCGTGCATGTCCCTGTAACAGGAAAGGTAAATATTACTTAAGAAAAATATAAAATTGTAATAAGAGCAGGGGTATCTTGGGCCGAAACAGCCAAAGAAAACAACCAACAACAAGGCGGCAAAAAGTCGTTTATTGGTTATATACCAATGAGGCTGGTCTGCGCGCGGACCCCGGGTTGGGAACCACACGCAGTTACAAAAAATGTTCAGATATCGGGTAACCGTCACAGAACAGCAAGCGGTTACCTGCTAAATTAGGCCGTCACTATCCGCAAGCAACCTAATTTAACTACACTACTGTGCTATTCTGAATAAAATTAGTCACAAGACAGCAAGCTAATATATTCAGAATCGCGTCGTAGGAACTAACTTGAGAAGACAGTAATTTTAACAATATTTGTTATTTTCTAATCTTCTGATCTTCTGATTTGCGTATGTACATGAAATGACATAACATAAGGCGCATGCAAAACCACATCGTGTTTTAAAATACAGGTGGCGCCATCTATTTTTGTACGTAGAACAACTGGTTGCAGTAAATGTTTGTTACAAAATTAATTAAAAAATTAAGTCACAATTGTAATTTAACGCTGACAATATGGCAAATACTTTGACTAAACTGTACTGTGCTGGGTATATGGACAATAATTATAATTATATGCAAAACAACCGTAAACAAGAAAGATTGTATACTTGTCAAATATGTCACATTGCTATCAACATGGACTTTAATAAAAGTCAATACAACAACCGTATCCATTGGTTTCGACGATACCCATGCAGTTTACTACACCGGAAATGAGGACGATATTATTGACACTATTATTAACAAAAATAAAATTGTTTTAAGTAATTTAACCGCACATAATCTTCATTATCATAATCGTAATAAGTGTTTTGGGATTAAAGTGGCTTAAATTAAAAAAAAGGTAAATTAAATGCATTTTAAATAAAAAAGTAGAACATATTCACGCCATACAAAGGTAATGAAAGCCAGTAAAATGTACAGAATGATTTCTACAAGTTCTTTGTGTCATAAACGAAACGAATTAAAAAAGATAATGGCGGGGCGCCGTTAAATTTTATCTCTTTTGGATACGACTTTGGCGCAATAAAATCTGCAATACGCTCCAACGCGAATTGCTAAATGAAACTGTGAAAGTTCTGGTTATCCAATTTGTTAAAAATAATTAACTCGCCAAATTAAACCCGCTTCAGGCGCTCAGTTCTAACTGAACATTTGTTCGGATAAAACTGATCGTGTTTACGCAAAACTTTATTTCATTTCAACTGCAACTGACAGTTAACATTTTGTCCACATACGAAGAACGACTACAGTTCCTTCAGTTAAAACTGTCAAGTAAAACCGAAGGTGTATAGCAAGCTTTATATTTACATTCAGTTGATACAAAGAGGGAGAAAGAGATCCACCAACCATTATGTAAAATAGGACCACCCTCATTTAGCGTGGAGACGTGTGAAACTACCTAAACAGTACGTCTTTGATAATCATTACCTAGTGACTCATTAGTGTTAGATTGCCCTAAGTTTTAACGCAGTAAAACTCAAGTTACGTTGTCCGGAAACGTATTTTATGAAATTATCGAACCAAAAACACTAACGAATGGTTAAATTTAGTTCGAAAACCGGCCATAAGTCGGTAAAATTCCTTGACATTTTGTAACAATTTAGTGTAGCGCTTGTAAAGTCGTAAATCTTCCCTACCATTGCACAAGAGAGCCCGCGGATAGATGGCGCGTGATTCGGACGCGTGAATAGCGGCTTTGAAGTGTTACATGCTTTGATCTTTTACACCATTGAAATGCGATGAGAACGCTTCACTAATCGTTTGTGACTGAATGACGTCATCAGTTTTTTTAAATAAAAACAGTTGAACATCTTAATCATACTTAATTTCTTAAGCGATTTAATAAATTCATTTTGTAACCCACTTTAAACGGAGACCTTGGAGGTTTCTCTTTAGAACTCTTGTTTTAATAGTAATAGTTATTATTTGAACCTTTAAGAATTACAACATAACATTTAAACGAACAGAACTCAAACTTGGTCCGCAATTCCTTTTCAAACTTAACACTTAACAAATAGAAATTAAAATATAGTGCTTTTAAATGATATTTTCTATAATATTATTCGGAACAAAATCTTCATTAAAAGCTATAATAGGTGGGACGTTAAATTTGGATTCAATATTCCTAAACCAATCAAACCGACCCGAAGTAATTAAACAACACAACACCAGAACCGTTACTCAGTATTTATTATTAAATAAATTGCTCTTCTCAGTAACACTCTGAAGCTTTCAAATAGTTTTAAAGCTATCGTCGGAGAGTTAAAGTGTTCTTTGCAGTATTGTATACAAAACGCAGCGTGTCGGCCCGAGTCGCGATAGCCGTGAAATCACGAATAAAAGAAACCATTTCTTTTCAAACTAGGTTATGTGCTTTTTACGTTCTCCGGTATCATTAGCCGAGCTGAGAACGGCCAGCCTTTGTCAATCGATACATTGCGCCTGTGCGTCGCGGAGTTAAGTGATAGCCGTTAAAATATAACATTACTTTTATAAATAACTGAAGTTACATGAAATTATGAAACTAATAGCTTTCGCACGCGACTCCGACCGCGTGTAATTAAAACAAGTAAATAGCCATGTGTTCTTTTAGAGTATGCTCTACACCTATGCTTAATTTCATCAAAATTCGTTCAACCGTTTTGTCTATAAAGTCTAACAAACAATCTTATTTAAAATGTTAATAAGATCATAAGAAAGAATATGGCCTAAGGTGGTCAGATACATCAGACTTGATACAATATAATTTAAGACTTACAAATATTAGGACAAAAATAACAAAATAGTCTTTTGATCAGATCCAAACAACTCCATAACCGCTAATCTATTCATTATAAAAACATCAGTTAAATGTCATTCGATAATTTCCGTTCCAGAAACTGTGAGACATATCAGTAACTTGGTTGAAAGTAAGCTAACAATGGGCACATTGCTGGCTGACGGCGCGACAAGCGGAACCTTTGTTTGATGTGTGTTAATCAACAGTTATAAATGACCAAGGCACTAACGGCTCCTTTTATTAATTAAAATGCAGACGCCAATGTAATAAGCGTGACTATTTTTTTTACTGAGGCACTGGAAACAGTAACTGAATCTAGATTTAGTTTGAAAGCCACGCTATGGGACTACTAAAGTTAACATTGAGTTAATTCATAAAGTTACCATTCTGAGTGTGTCAGATAAACTGTTACGAAACATATAAAAAACAAAACATACAGATTCACTTCTAAAACTTTACTACATTTAAAAGAAAAGAAATCCTTAATTCTCAACTTAGAAACAATACGTAACTGAGTTTAAATTAACATAAAGATACTAAGCATATTTCTTTAGTATAGAATTTATTTAATGCTAGTAAAACCCGACCGTTATCCGCCGCATGAGACCTCGCATCTAACCACTAGATATGAGACCGAAACCGCAGAAATCTCGTTACAAGCAAGCACATTACAAACGGGATAGCAATTTGTACCGATAAGTAGTTACATTTTACAAAATATTACTAGTAATAGTGACAAGAGTTACTTTATTAGTAAGTTAATTTATAAAAGACATGCAAATGCAGTTAAAAAGGAAAGTTTATGCTGGGTTTCTGAAGTTTACATTTATTATACCTTGTGATTCATTAGTGTTTTTTAAACTAAATTTAAACTAAATTTCAAAAGAGTGAATCTCAAGTTACATAGTTCGGAAACGCATTTCAAGAATTTATCGAACTAAAAATACTAACGAATGGTTAAACGTAGCTGGGAAACTGGCCTTTAGTAATTTTGAAATTGCTTCACAAAATCGATCACAAGTCCGTTAATTGAAGACCAATTAACTGTCTAGTCTTTTAGTGCTCACATAGCAGTTAATTTAGATTTAGCTACTGTGTTAAAAAGAGCTTGTATTTGTGTACGCAGTAACGTAACATGAGTATTAACAGTGACAAATAACGCCAGCTTCAATACTCGTAAAGTTTGAAACTCGTTCTTAATAGCACTTGCGTTAAATGGTTTCTATTACCAAAAAGTAACATAAACCAAATAGATTATATTCAGTTCAAGCTACGATTAATAGAAAAAACAAAATGCTTATACAGCAGTTACAAATTTGTTAAGCATTTCTAAGGATTACAAAGCTTCTAGTGGCATCCACTTCACATGAGGCACACAAAACATACAATATAAAACATTACATCAAATACTTCACGTAGCTAGGAGCCCTCGCACGACTCCGCGACAAAAGATCCATGAAAGGACCTCACGTCAGCCGAAGACGCATTTGCTTACCGACCAACTAGAATTTTTGCTAAGAATTCGCAACAAGTGAAAAGCTACCCAATAGTCAGCACACTAAGGCAGTATTTCTTGCAACATCAGTCAATGCAACCGAAAAAACGACGTGTCAAAGTTCAAATTCGAGGGTTGTTGTACAGTTTGATATATTCTTTTGCTGTTATAACCTCTAAGTGTGGTAAATAGAGCTTAGTTTCGCTTGTGGTTGCATTTTTTTTGTATGTATTGTCGGTCCGTTTATAGGTGACTGGGGTTTTGTTCGTCGCGTGTACCGCTTTTCTATTCTAACACACTTGACACGTGGCAACCGTAAATTAATGTTACTCGATCTTTAAACTAAAACATACGTCCATCGACAAAATTAAATAAAACCACAAGACCGTTATAAACAAACTTCGTAACCAAAGTTATAAATATCTACAGTAAATCAGAACTTCAAAGAGTTTTAAAACTTCGGGAGTCATAAAAGGTTAAAAAAAATCTCTGCTCAAAGTTGAGCCTGGGACGGGATCGCGACAAAAGCTACGATCTCCAATTTGTAAATGAAAGCTCGACCCTAGCGCCCTCTTTTATTATTAAAAGAGGCAGCAGCGGTCCAGTTCCTCCTATACATAATGAATTATGTTTCCTCAACGTTCCACTATA